CCAACTTTTCGTTTTTAAGTTGTATATGTCCGGTATCTTGTCCCAGCAATTCAAAGCTAACATGGGGTAACTAACGCATTGCTCAAGATGTATGCTTTGTTATGCAATTCATAACCAGAGACTCCATGCCAGTGTCATACTGATGCTGCTCTACAGAGATCCATCCAGATTTCAGGAAGAGAAGGACAGGAATTTGTGAGACATGATGATGCTGGTAGGATGGCAGTAGATGGTATTATGTAGCGACCAGAAAAACACAAATCCCGTTCAACCCAAATCATCTTTACCTATGAGATATTCTAGTTGAACATATGCAGGAAGAGGAAGTATGAATATCCTGTGATATTTGAAGCTATACTTAGCCCCAAGCTACAGTACAGTGGTCTGAAAGGTGGTAACACACAGGAGAGATCAGGTCTCTTTTTATACTCCAAAGTTCAAGAATGAATTTTGGCAGGGAGTCCTTGTATTAGGTATCCTTAGTGGTTAAACGAAGGAATCTTAGGTTTGGGGGGTATATGTCAGTATGCACGAGGCCCTGGGTTTAATATCTGACACAAGAAAGAGAGGAAGGAAAGAAGGAAGAGAGGAAGGAAGGAAGGAAAGGAGTGAGGAAAGAAGGAAGCAAGGAAGCGTGAAATGAAGGAGCTTAAATGAAAGAACTGCCTAGAAAGATGTGACAGGACTAATGGAATGGCTTAAAGACAGTGGACCATGCAAAGAACACAGCAGGAAGTGGTTACAAGCTGCTCACTTTTTTACAAGCCTGAAGAAACAAGAGGAGAAACAACTGTTACAAAAGCCCAGGGGGAACTTGAGTCACAGAGAAAAAGCCACCAAGAGGGACTGGTATTGTGGAGGACACAGCCACTGCCCAAGATTGGGTGCCAAAACTTAGAGGCAGGGAAAGAAACCCCTGACTCGTTCTTCTGGCTGATCCTTGTGAGTGCTTGCTAAGGATGGAGTCCAGCTGTGAGCCAGAGAGGCTGTTGACACACTGAGGTATTAGCTTCCCAGGGCCTAGAGAAGCAGAGAAGGGCAGAGAGCACTTGGGGAGGTGGTGGCATCGGGAGCTCACTGGGGTGTGGAGGGCTGTTCTTGGCAAAAGCTTTTCTTTCTGCGTGTTGGAATCTGCCTGTTCTTGCCTGTGATCATCTGTGTGTGTGTAGTGCTGAGGTGAGATTGCGATGTTCAGCCCAAGCCAAGCAGATTGCCTGGATCATCTTCAGTCAGCTGCACGAGGGATGGATAGTGACAGAAGCCAAATAGCAAATTCACTCTTTTACTTAATGATTTCTGACCCAAATTTACTTTTTTTTTTCTTTTCTGTATTTAGGACAGGGTCTACAGGGTCTCACTACATAGATCAGACTCATAGTGATTCTCCTGCTTTCAGCTTCCCAAGTGCTGGCATTACGGGCATGTGCCACCACGCCCAGTCTCAATTGCCGCCTCAGCACACCCCGCGGTCGGGGCTAGCACAGCCCACTGGGGATAGAACCCCTGGCCCCTGTGCTCTGCCTAAACAGGCACTTTAGTCTGCTGAGCCATCAGGCTGGCCCCCAAATTCATTTTAATGTCTCTTCAGTTTTATGGTGGGACAACTCCTTCTTGTTATTCTGCCCCTGGAATAAAGATATGAGAATAAAAGTTGAAGCAAATCAGAACTTGTTGAGGTTACCAGGTGCTGCTCTCTGCCACTGTGCTCATGTGTGAGGTCTGGGGCTGGGGAGCTTGAGGGTGCAGACTCCAGGTCCATTTTGCTGTAGGCTTGCAGAAGACAGAGTGGTAGGAATTCACAGGACACACATCTGTCCTGTAATCCCTTTGGGGCCTCATGCTTGAGGCCAGCGGGAAGCAAAGCTAGATGAAAGTGGCGTAAGTCAAAGCAGCGTTTGAGAAAACAAGAAGAGGCGAGTGACAAGAGCAGAAGTCAAGTGATGCCACTGGAATACAGGAGATCAAAAATCCCAAGGATTTAGTTGTGAGATATGACCTTGCCCTGCGATGGATAGACTGCAAATACATAAACCTACAATGGTGATAGGTTTGTTTTCTTTTAAAAATTATTTATTTATTTATGTGGTACAGGGTCTTGCTAGGCAGCTCAGACTTGTAGTGATCTTCCTGTCGCAGCCTCCCCACTGCTGGGATTACAGGCTTGTGCCACCATACCTTCTTTGGGTGGCCAGCACAGCATACATGGGACTCTGGGGCCAACACAGCATGTGGTATGCGGTACTGGGATCGAACTCAGGTCCTTGTGCTTGTCAGGCAGGTGCTTAGGCCGCTGAGCTATCTCCCCAGCCAAGGTAATGGGTTTTTAAAGATAATTCTAGAAGTTTAAAACTTTCAGAAGTGATCCGGGACAGCAGATGAAGGGCTCCTGTGATAGTGTTGTGCAAGAGCAAAGGCTAGGCAGAATAGAAATGGCTAATTATATTTTCAAAGGACAGATTCCCACAAATGCACCTTTGTTAGTGGATGCTTAAAGCTGCCTCTTCACTTTGTGAAGCTGAGGAAAGAGGATTGCAAGTTTGAATCCAGACTGGGCAATTTAGTGACTTACTAAGACCCTGATTATAAAAGAAAAGGAGCGAGGACTGCGGATGTAGCTCAGTGACAAAGTTATATCCTGTGATAGGTTCAACTGCCAGTACTGTCAAACCAAACCAGACCAGACCAGACCAGACCAGACCAGACCAGACCAGACCAGACCAGACCAGACCAGACCAAACCAAACCAGGCCTCATGTTCTTGTCTGCTAACTATATTAGGATTTTAAGCCATGAGCAAAATGTCTGTTTTTGCCAGTTCAATAATCAAGGAAGGAAACATAGGATCTTGGCCTTCAGGGCTGCCTGCCATGACTCTTGTTCCCAGAGTACCCACCAACCATCTGGAGATGACAACTATCTGGGGAGAACAGAGAGATTTTGGAACCTCTGTTCTGCTGAAAATGAATTTTTAACTTTCTTTAGCTCCTTATGTAGATGCAGCTGTTTTGTCTTCCAACTAGCTTTGGGTTTTCCCCAGTTGAAGGAAATGTCACTCATCCAGGAGGTTGAGAAATGTCAAGGGCAGAGGTTCCAATGTCCTTTTATCAATCCTGATTTGGCAAAACAGTATAACTCATCCATGCAGCCTTTAGTAGAAGGAAAAGGACTGGCAATGGCCACACTACAGTTATTTGACAGCTTTCTACCTTATTCAGCTAAGGGACCCAGTGGTTTAAGAGAACAAAGAAAAAGAAACTTATGTAAATATATCTATAGTAGGGGAGGATTCTGAAATCAGCTTAGGCAGGATTTCTCAAATGTTAGATCTTTCATCCCTCTGAGAAACTTTATCAACACCCACCACTTTTGCTTCCAGGTCTCCATGGAGAAGCCTGCCAAGAAGATGGGAAGAGTCACAAAACCAATAAGTAATTTCTCATCATGAGAATTTCCCTTGATGGTGGGTCATAACTGGTAGTTCTACCATGCCTCTGAGCAGAAGAACCATAGAACTTCAAGAAGAAGATACAAAATCCCACTTGCAGGTCCTCAAGACCTTTAATAGAAAATAAATATTTCCTAGAATCTCTAGAAATGTTGCTGGTGGTAGACTTTCAATGGTGCATCCCTTATACTGGTGCCTGGCACACTCTCAAAGCTAGGTCATTGATACAGACATAGAAAGATGTTCAATGAGTGAAGTGTCTATAGATTTTGCATGGCATGGAAGGGCTGGTTGGGATGTATGAGAATTGTATAGGTGGAGGCCATGAAGAACATCTATTTGTATTCTTCATCTGGCCACAAGCCATAAGTATACATGGAGAGAGGCATGGCTCAGCCAATGTCTATAACAAGATCATATTTACTGAACTAAACTAAGTCCACAATGTTCTCATGACCCAGTGCACTAAAAGAAACTTCTGTATTTCCCCCAGGCCAGGACCATAATGAAAACATACAGGTATAAGCAAAAGAGCTCTGATCTGGACTCTAGAAAGAGCAATTGAGTTCATTTTGAAAGAGTAGGTATTAAAGTACTGCTTCCAAGAATAGAGGCACTAGATGCAAAATTAAAGAATCTAACCCTGGAAGGAAAATGGGAACATAGCTGTATGTTGAAAAAACAAAGCAAAACAAAACCACTAACATTTGTATGAAAAAATCTGCAAATAGTAGTTCCTTTTCTTTCCTTCTTCTCTCCCTCCCTTCCTCCCTTCCTTTTGCTTCCTTTTTTCTCCCTCAATTGTTTTTGTGTTAGGGATTAAACCCAGGGTTTTGCACATGTGAAACTTTTCTCTATTACTTTTACCCCTAGTCACAATGGAGCATTTAATCACACCAGTCTAGACTCGTGTGAAATAAAAACAAGGACAACTCAAGCAGAACACACTTGTCCCTCTCTCAGGATTAGCAGGTCCATGAGCAAATGTGGGAGCCAAGGATTCAGGAAGTTAGGTGACGTAGTATTGCAAACTGGTTTACTGCAATTACCACTCTTCTCTGGAATTAAAATCTGACTTGACTGCACCACAAAGCCTAAGTTTAGGGTTTTCAGAAATTAAAAAATGAAGCTTGCTTAGACCCAGGCTCTATTTTGAAGAGTTTAGAGTCCTGTGAGGAAAAAAAGAGACACACAAAATCAAAGAGTAGACTGAAGAGATGGGGCCAATGAAAAGCTCCAGAATTCTGAATAAAGCAGATAGGGCCTTCCCCAGGTGGAGCTAAATTTTTGCTTTGGGATTGGTAAAAACTTGAATGGACATGTTACTAGAAATTGCACTGCCCATTTAAAGAAAAAGAACAACTGTATCCCAAGCACACTCCTTCTCAGTTCTGAAAATATGATACGGATAATAGGAGGAGGAGAGAGAAGAAAGCAGATAAATTAGGGACCTTTGTTTTTTTTTAATATTTATTTATTTAGTGTGTGTGTGTGTGTGTGTGTGTGTGTGGC